TTTCTTGGGTTCAGGGCTTCAGGGGTTTAGGGGTTTAGGGTTTAGGGTATCAGGGTGTAGGGTTTAGGGGTTAGGCGTTTAGGGTTTAGGGCTTAAGTAACCTGTGAAAGCAGAGGTCTCAACAAAGCTGAAGCTCTATGGGTGCACAAAATGGACCCTTAGGGTAGGATTATTATGGTAGGAATTACACCTATGGTTCAGAAATGTATTCCACCAGAGAACGTACCGTCATAAGACGCCGTCGTATGAAGCCTTGGAGGAACCTTTACGATCGTACTTGTAGCAACAGTATTTTTCCTGGAGCCCCAATATAAGGAAAAGTACGCATAACATAACATATTACCAAACCCTAAACCCCAAATCCCTAAACCCTAAACCCCAAACCCCTAAACCCTAAACGCCAAATCCCTAAACCCTAAACCCCAAATCCCTAAACCCTAAACCCCAAATCCCTAAACCCTAAAGTTGTTCTTATTCAGGCCTTGAAGAAAACTGTCAGACTTCAGGGATCCGCAGGGCATGTCTAGAGTTCAGTTCGACGGGAAGCCCTAAAACCTACATCCCTAAATCCCCTACACCCAAAATCCCTAAAACCTAAATCCCTAAATCCCTAAACCCAAAATCCCTAAAACCTAAATCCCTAAATCCCTAAACCCAAAACCCCTAAACCCTAATGGGAGTTTCTTAAACCCTAACTTGGGGGAAACCCCAAACTGGGAGTTTCTTAAGCTTTGAGCTGGTGGTTTCCGAAACCGAAAACTGTGAGTTTCTTAACTAAACCTTAGGGTTCAGGGCTTAGGGGGCTGGATCCCCAAAAGCTTGGAGGCCTGAGCTTGTCCCTCTCACTTGCCGTGCTCTTTCTCTGCTGCCTCGCGTCTCCGTGGGGGAAGGTTTAGGGTTTAGGGCTTCGGGCTCAGGGTTTAGGGTTTTAGGGCTTAGGGTTCAGGGTTTAGGGTTTAGGGTTTTTTGGGGTTTAGGGATTTGGGGTTTAGGGTTTAGGGAACACTTTCCATGACTTATGGTAGGGCTCCTCATTTCTTTTTTCCTATATCATACCACAAAAGCCTATCCTGACTGTCAGCTAAGTGCCCGACACTACATTGTCACTACATCCCTGAAGCAAGACCCTGCATCAACGGATGCTATTGTGGATATAGGACTTCTCACAAGTTCGAGCTGCCAGAGTAGAGGCCCCTGTTTGGTTCCATTGTCTTTCGATTTTGTACAAATACTGGGCTTTTGGGGGACCTGTTCCCTCAAGGAACCATTGCGAAATAAAAGTCTATACTTTTTCTCCCTGGTTGCTTCAAAGTCCAGTATAATTCAAGATTATGTAGCTATACTTGCCTAGATACATGTAATGGCCGAAACCTAGGTAGCCAGAACGCCATCTGTTTGGCATTATACTCAACCTTTCAATTTAGGAATCACCTACACTTTAGAGCCCTAAATCCGTAACCCTAAACACTACAGAGCCCTAAACCCTAAATCCCTAAACCCTCATAGAGCCTGAGCCCTAAACATTCTAGAGCCCTACACCCTAAATCCTAGGGAGCCCTCAACGCTAAACCCTAAACACTATAGAGCTTTAGGGCTTTAGGGTTTAGGGCTTTAGGGTTTAGGGCTTAGAGCTTTAGGCTTTATGGTTTAGGGCCTTTGGGGTTTACTTTTTCGGGTTCAGGGTTTAGGGCTTTAGGGGTTTAGGGTTTAGGGTAGGCCCTGAACCGCTGTTTGGGCACTTGGAGCATTAAATCAGAGACCATTGCTTTGCTTGTTTTCCGAGGCTTGCGAGATCATATCGAATAGAAAATGGGTACTGGCTATCAGATGTCTGAAATAGCAGGCCCCCGCAAACATCGGTCCTTAAACCCTGAACCATAAACACTAGACCCTGAACCGTAAACCCTAAACCCTGAGCACCAAAACCAGGTGTCCCGTTTTCAAGTGTTTCTGTCTCATACCTGGTGGACTCCGGGAAGATGGAAAGCCACTGGGCTTTTCGGGTTCCTTTCCCGGTGCTTTGACGGATGATGGGGCTCTAAAGGCTCTAAGGCCGTTCTATAAGGGGTTTGTGACACAGTGGGCGATTTTTTGTCGTTGGGTTCCGGGTTTAGGGTTAAGGTTTGCGAGGGTAGGGTTTACGGGTCCTTATGCGCAGGAGTGCACCTGCTTCGTATTTTTCCTTGTCGTTAACAGTCTGATTGTTATGTTTAGCCTTGCTGCTAGTCGTCGCGATGTTACGCTGACTTTTTCTCACCTGACTGCTTGCTTTCTGCTGGTAAGAAATTCCCTAGCTTGGGGCTGTTCTTATGACAGTTGGGATTTCGGGTGTGTGGTGTAGGGTTTGGTGTCCTGGGTTCAGGGATTGTGAAGGTTTGCGGTTTGGGGTATGGGGCTTCATGCCCTAAACCGTAAACCCCAGCCGTCGTTTAGGGCCAAGGCGGTACTCACGGCAGGCAAAACAGTGATCAGGTCCCAGGGGCCTTGCGGATTGGGCTTTAGCAGGGACCCGGCTCCCTGCGAACAAAGGAGAAACATGTTTCTGTGTGTTTATATACACACTCACTCCATATATATACATATATATATATATATATGTGTATACAATAAATTATATACACATAGATGTATATACATACATTTGTGTGTGCAAGATAATGAATAGTCGGAGCCACTTCTACAGGAAAGCCCCTGAGAAATGTTTTTCTCCTTCCTCCCTATCCGGGACCCAGTAGCAAGACCGAGAAAGTACCTGACTTGGTATGCCCGGCGCCCCCAACTACTCAAAGGATGTTGAGCTATAAGTCTATAAGTATTTTTAGTTTGATTATACTTCCTTAACAAATCCACTGAGGTAGTTGTAACCCTACTGAATATGTCTCCTGATCCTCCAAGCAGCCCCCTTGAAGTAACAACTAGCGCAGGGGTTCTACCCAAGCCAATTCCTAACCGTATAATAAACCCTAAACCAAACCCCTAAACCCTAAACCCCTAAACCTTAACCCTTAAACCCTAAACCGCAAACCCCTAACCTCCAAACCCTAAACCCTCAACCCCTAAACCCTCATTCCTTAAAACCTAGACCCGAATCCCCTAAACCCCTAAACCCTAAACCCCTAAACCTGATCAGAGGTCTTCTGAGGCTTGAGGTTCTGTGCGGTTTATGGTAGCAGGCGCTGTTTGGAGGGTTATACATTCTAGGAGGTTTAGTACTAGAAGAGATTTCATCACTGGTTCAGGGCTTGTCATGGGGGCTTTTGCACCGACATAGTCTATACTTGTACTCCCAAACAACCAGGCTGTCTACCAGATTTGCACTTAGGTGCTCTCCTTGTCCTTGCAGTGTGGCTGGCACTACGTACTCCTTTGCTGGTGCCTGTCCATTGCCCTTTGTACCGGCCTCTGCATAGCAGACGTCCTTCCGATGCCTCTCAAATACAAGGCAGGATTGCTGTGTCAGGGCTTCGGATTTAGGATGCGCGGTTAAACAACTAAAACTATCGAGTTTTGGCTTGGGGCTTGGGACGTCGGTTCTCAGGCTGCTTCATGGGTGTCAGGTGCTAGGGTTTCGGCTTCAGGCTTTGTGTCCACAGTCTCCGTACCCTGAAATACGGTTGATGATATAAACCCTGCATTACCCATAATATTCAATATACCATACTTCCCATAGTTTCGGGTCCTTAAGGTAATGCAGGATTTATTTATATCATCAACAGTATGTCTCAAGGTTTCGCAGATGAGGGCTTGACGGTTAAGGTGATTTAAGATGCCGTGTTTGCACTGGGGTTGTTGTTGGAGGGTCTAACTTCAGACCGATTGAGTGACGGTTTGTGAGGTGGTGGTAGTAGTAGTCGTCGTC